GGTTAATAGATGTCACCCAGGACATACCCATCATTGATAACTCATTTGTCTTGCTGGCTCAACCTGGCCTGCACTGAGGGGTTATCTGTTGACAAGGAAAGCATGCTCTGCTTTGTATGAAAACCCTGTTTTATGATGTTTTACTCTTTTGACTTTTTGAGCGGCCTACCAGCTCCCAAATAATTCACACATGGAGGTTCATTCTTAGTTATACTTGTCTAGCCTTAGTTTGTCTTGTTTTTTGCTGGGTTTTCTTACCTTAAAGTATCCGGGCTACCTTTTGCCGGTGGGCCTTTTCCTGATCTGACTTCTGTATATCTTACTTTCACTCTTACTCTGTGGCTGGCTGGCTGGCTGGCTGACCCCTGATGTCCTCCTCCCCTTGTTCTCTTGCCCCGCCTATTTATACTCTCTGCCTGCCAGCCCTTCCTAGCCTTGCTTCTACCTGGCTGTTGGCCATTCAACTCTTTATTAGAACCATCAAGTGTTTTAAACAGGTAAAGAATCACAGCCTCACAGAGTTAAATGTAGCATAAACAAAAGCAACACACTTTAAAATAATATTCTACCATAAGGACCCTATGTAGCTTTGACTTTTGCAAGTTCTGGGCATGTTGCCACAGTCTCTGTGAGTTCATACGTGTGCCAGTCCTGTTCATCTGGAAGGGCCTGGTTACTTGGTGTCATCCATTTCCACTGGCTCTTACAATCATTTTGCCTCCTCTTCCACATGGCTCCAGGAACCCTGAAGGGAGAGTTTTGATGAAGGCATTCCATTTATGACTAGTCTTCCAAAGTCCCTCAATTTCAGCACTTTTCCAATTGTGCGTCTCTGACTTAGTTCTTGTCTCCTGAGAGAAGTAACCCATTCCCTAAAAGACAAATATGGTCTATATTCTCTTTCTTGCAGATGTTAGTTTTTAAGTCTTTCAATCCTTATAACCATAGAGGTTAGGTACAGAGTAAGGGACCATCGGGGGGAGAGGATGTCCCAAGAAAGGAGAAATAGACTATATAGTGATGGAGAGACTGTGTGTGTGAGTGTGTGTGTGTGTGTGTGTGTGTGAGAGTGTGTGTGTGTGTGGTGTGTGCTTGTGTGTGTGTGTTTGTGTGTGTGTGTGAGTGTGTGTGTGGTGTGTGCTTGTGTGTGTGTGTGAGTGTGTGTGTGTGTGTGGTGTGTGTGTGTGAGTGTGTGTGTGTTTGTGTGTGTGTGTGTGAGAGTGTGTGTGTGTGTGGTGTGTGCTTGTGTGTGTGTGTGTGTGGTGTGTGTGTGTGTGAGTGTGTGTGTGTTTGTGTGTGTGTGTGTGAGAGTGTGTGTGTGTGTGGTGTGTGCTTGTGTGTGTGTGTGTGTGTGTGGTGTGTGTGTGAGTGTGTGTGTGTGTGTGTGTGTGTGTGTGGTGTGTGCTTGTGTGTGTGGCAGGGACTGAACTGGAAGGAATACATTGAGAGGGGGCAGGGAGATAGGGGTGAAGGCAGGAATATGGGGAAGGACAGCTAATACTAAGTGCTATTTAAGGGATCATTTTCAGTAGAAGCTTCTGAAAATATATATGTCTATGAAAGAAATCTAAATGGAATCAACTTATTTTTTTTCTGAGGCAAACATTACCCGATCAAATGCTCAGTGGATTTTGGATGAAACCAACAGGATTATGTTAAAACTTTCACAGTGAAAACATAAGAAACACACAACCAAGTACCAGGCCAAACTCTGGGAATCCAATCAAAGAGAGGGAGAAGGGAATGAATACATGAGTATGGGAAGCCAAGATCATGATGGAGAAATAAACAGACAGCTGAACCAAGCTCATGGGAACTCATGAACTCTAGACTGACAGCTGTGGAATCCCCATGGGACTGAGCTAGGCCTTCTGCTTGTGGGGAGACAGTTATGAAGCTTGGACTGTCACAGGAGCCCCTGGCTTTAGGATCAGGATTTAACCCTGGTACATGAGCTAGCTTGTTGGAGCCCATTCCCTATGGTGGGATGCCATGCTCAGCCTTAATGCATGGGAGAGGGTCTTGATCTTGCCCCCAACTTAATGTGCCAGACTTTGTTGACTCCTCATGGGAGCCCTTACCCATGAGGAGGAGTGGATAGGGGGTGGTTGTGGAGATGGGAGGGAGAACTGAGGTTGGAATGTAAAATGAAACTTAAAAAAATAAGTAAATTATATATAAAAAGAAAAACATAAGAAATAGAATAGCTTTGTAGTATATGAACACACATGGAAGATTTAGACCTCTGAATCCAAAGTTACTTTAAGGCTTTGATAATCCAGACATTAGGGTAGACATATGAACAGATATATAGATCACAGCTGTATATATATATATATATATATATATATATATCACAGTAATAGGGTAAATAGACAGCACAAGAGACAGTATCAGAATTACATAATATGTTTGAGAAGTTGTCATCACAGGTAAATTGGGAGGTCACATTTATTATAAAAGGTTGTTGGAACTATGGATCATCTTTATGGATAAAATGAACATTTGATTATTATTTTACACCATAGTCAGAGAACAGACAGACTAATATGACTTACAAACCACAGCTCTCATAATCCTTGAATTACTGTAAGACTATTGCTTTGGATAGAGTTTAGAAAATGATCTCACAAAAGAGGACATCAGTGAGCATCAAACTTCATTAGCATAAAAGTTTGAATACATGGAACAAGGCTACAGTGATAAAACTTCAAGCCACCAACTGGCAAAGACATTTATGAAGCATTTACCTCACAGCGTATCTAAGTGTGAAAAGCACATTTCTGACCTGAAAACAAGATAAAGAATGGAGTGTCTGCATAGATTTGTGTGGACACTTAGCACAATATAAAATGGTACAGCTATTTGTAAATCAAGATGGGGGTACCTCATAAAGTTAAATGTGTCTTTACACAATGCTCAGGCCCACTTCTCAGTGATTACCTGCCACTAGGAAGACATATTCACGTGGACTAACATTAGAACAGGAAACAGTTATTCCTTCCTTGTTGAATAGTAAACTGTGGGGAATCACTCCTACAAAAAGAAGTAAACTGCTTACTACACATGCATGGCTGTAGGGGAGGCCTCAAAACTGTGCTACATGAAGAAGCAAAATTGGAAGGCTGCATACAGTGTGATCGTATCTGTGCAAATTAGAACCTTATAGTGACAATGTAGATTCATAATTGAGGTTAAGACTCAGGGAGAGACCTAAGGCAAATGGCTATGCAGAAAATTTGAGTTTAAGGAAGCATCTATATTATCACTGTCTTATCCAAACTGCAGATGTCAATGGTAGCATGAAAATGTCAGTCTACATTTTGTTTTGGTTCAATGCTCACAATTTATTATACAGCTATTTTCAGTTTAGTTAGTAGCAGAGTCTTCTGGGATAGTAATTAAGATTCAAAGAATTGATCTTTCAGATTCAGCTACTGTCATCCTGGGTGTTGGGCCCATGGAGCAGGAAGCTGCATCTTCACCAGCAGCTGAGGGGCTCCTCTATGTGCAGATGACCAGCTTATAAATTTGGAACTGTGGAGCCCCTGAATAGAACCCAGAAGCTGGGAAATCCCCCGAGTAAAGACTTAATCCAATTTTACACTTTAAAAAGTTTGCAAACATGACTGTCTGAACAATAACACTTGAGATTCAACTTTGTAGAATTTTCAAGTTCAGGAGCAGCCATACTTCAACAAGCCTTTGATCCTTGGGTTGACAAGTTGTTAGGAAACCGTGAGCCACGGAGAGCATGTAAAGTAACATTGAGACAGGGACATCTCATAGGGGTCTCATTTACTTTAGGACCACAGTTAGTCAAAGCCAGGATCTGGAATGTTCTTGCAAGATGTCTGTTGTGGAGGGAAAGCCAATGAAGCAAACCTGCGAAACATTTCTGGTCCAGGACTGAATGTCAGGGATGCATTGCCAGCCTTGAGGAACTCAAGAAAGGAGGTCTCAAGCTGTACTCTGAGAGGAAGCAAGACAGTGACCCTGTGAAGAGGGTAGCCAAGTTAGAGAAGTTGTAGAATACTCTGGGGTGGAGTATCCATCATTCCTGAGGTGAGATCTGGGTGAGGTGATGGCCTGCCCCGCCAGTACTGAGCTGTTACATTAGTGGTCTAAGTGAGGGTGGATCCTGGAATGTACGTAGATTAGGAAAGCAGTACCCTGTAAGATAGGTGACTTCTCCAGGATTGCTTCCCACTCTCACATACCCCTTCCCTCCTTCTACCCTAAACCCTTGTCCCTGAAACTTTTCAACTGTTACAAGACTGCTAAGGGATGCTGGGAGAAACAGCTCTGGGGGTAGTGTGGTGGTATTTGGGTGGGACCTCTCAAGAAGGGGAGGGAAGGGGAGGGGGCCAGGCCTCTCTTACCCAACCTAGGCTGAGTTTCCCTTCCTGCACTCTCTCAGTCTGAATCTGCTGCTTTCCCTGCAGCTGTGGCTTTGCTTTTCCTGCCCATTATCCCACTGTGGAGTTCCCTTTGCACTCCTGAGTCTGACGCTTTCTTCTCTGCATTGCTCTTCTTTCTGACATACAATTCTTCCTTGATTTCCAAAAGCATGCATGCTCTTAGCCAACCGCTCTGTACCCCAAGATGCATGTAACATGAGGGGTAGAGGCTTCTGAGCTCCTTGGGCTCTTCTTTCCAAGGAATATTTAGCTCCTGTCTCAGAGTGATGCTACTGAAGGGTCAGCCTGGTGAAATAACTGTAGAGTGTGCACACTCTGCGTAAGAAATAGTGCAGGGACTACTGATACTGATTGTGCAGCATCACAGAAATGGGTACAGGACCCTTCTAAGGCTGGTCACCAGCCATTGCACAGCTCCTTTCCCAGGGAGTCAGTCAAGCCTGCTACAAAGTCCTCAAACAGGTCAAACAAGAACACTGAGTGCAGTTCTGCCCTACCTAGCACCAGCACTACAGTATTTCCCACGGATTCGGGTAAGGGGCTGAGGATTTAAATAAAGACAAGACAGCGGGTCACTCATGCAAGGAGAATGCCGTTTATTACAACAAGAGGGGAGCCTTATATACCAGTCAGCAGGCACAGTGGAAAACTACCCAGGCCGGAAGTTTACGTTCCCAGGTCCATCTGGCAATCATGCATGGGTGGATAACAGGAACTTGTGGTCAGGCCTTCTCAGAAGGAGGGGAACAGGATGTTTTTGCTAAATAAGCTCCTAGTCACAAGCTGGTCAGCAGATCCCTGTGGCGGAAGGGCCCAACAGGTCCCATATATATAAATGAGCATCTGTGTTAGGTTACCTGGGACATCCACATCTGCTTTGCCCATCATTGAAAAGTCTGCCCAGGCCTCGAAGACCCTCTGTCTTAGGTTGACAGATGTCTCCCAAGTCTTATTGATTGTTCACTTGTTCTGCAGGCTCATCCAGGCCTCCTATGCTGAGGGGTTATCTGCTGTCAAGGAAAGCCTTATTTGCTTTTTGTGAAAATGACACTGGGCTTGTGGCTTTCCCACAAGGTAAAGGCAGATTAAGGCTAAAGCTGTGCTGCCCAGGGCCATAATCTGAGGGCTAATGACCCACTCCATTTCTTAATTAATCAACCTGCTAGTTGCAGTCTCCTTAAGAGGGGGTCTCCCGAAAGGGGAGGAACCCTGATTTCACTAATCTTAATAATTTGATTAGCCAATTGAGACATGTAATTTGTGAAATTGACATTAGAGAAGTTCGCTGATTAAGATTTAAAGTGCCCAATTGTACTAGAGAATTGATATTATTCTGGGAACTTAAGGCAGAGGCAAACTCCCTTAAGAGCTTATCCAGTGTGCCTGCTGTGGCAACTGACTGAGAGATAGCGATGCCAGAAATTGTAACTGCTGTGGAGACAGCTGCCAACAGCGGCTGCAATGGCCATGATGCCAAGATCTCTCTTATGTCATGTAAGGATGAGCTGGTTCTCTCCTGAGTGTTCCGCTGGTGTAGGCATGATACCAGGAACATATTTCACCACTCCAACAGCTTCTCCAGTGGCATCATGACAGGTAAGTTCCTCATGAAGGCCCAATGGCTGGTGTGTATCAGCAGGAACAGGGTGCACACAATGTTCCAGAACCCAAACTGGGAACTCGACATCCTGTGGGAAGACACAAACAGATCCCCAGACCCACACAAAAATCAGATCTAGCCCTTTCCAAAGGTCCAAAGGAAGGTCTTTCCATTTATCTAGAGGTTTTTGCTGTGTGTTGTGCCCAAGTTGCAAAGTCCCCAGAGACCACCAGGAAGGCAGACCCACTAAACTGTAAAAGCAAGGTTTTAATTGTATTGATTGTTCATCCAACCATGACAGGGACCCCATCTAGCAAGCTGATGCAGCAGCCTCCAGAGGGAGTGAAGTTCCCTGTCTACTGCTAGGTTTTAAAGACAAAAGTTACAGGATTATATCAGTAGATACGGGTTGGTTTCTGATTGGTTGACATTTGGGAATAATTAGGAGCATTTCTCAAAGTCATAATTTGGCATGAAACACATGTGTACCAATTATTTTCATTGGTCAGTGCTGAGAGGGAACATTTTGTAGTTTCTATGGCATTGTCTTGTTACTTGAAGGTGGCCTGTTATACATAGATACCAATAGTTTTTGGAACTATATCCTGGAGACTACAGGGCAGGTTTTGATCTCCCCTGGAGTTTTTTTGTGGCCAAACAGTTCCCAGGAACCAAGTATCTAGGAGGCTGTGGGGGTGGGGGGTGTCTGGAGTTTCTTTGTGTTCAGTTTTGGCTCTAGACTCCAGGAGGCCAGAGGATCTGGAGTTTCCTTGTGTCAGAGGCCTACATGTCTTTTCTGTAGCCTGTCATGGTTGCTAAAACAGGGGCTCAGTGAGAGTCTGGCCCATTTATTTCTAAATTATTAGAAGTGAAGCCTTTGAGTTTAGTTTACCTTTCACTGTGCAGAGGACCACCAATGATGATCTGCCACGGAGTTACCAGAAGCATCCACAATTAAAAAATTTAAAATATAGAGAATAAGTGATAGAGTAGAGTGAGGGGAGCCAAGGTGACCCTCAAGGTCCCCCTTCTTTACTTTAGCTAAATAGGCTTTCAAACTGTGATGGACACATTCCACCGTAGCCTGCCCTTGGGGGTTGCAAGGAATACCAGTCTTTGGCATAATTTCAAAATCTTGACAAAAATGAATGAAACCTCTGCTGACACAGGTGGGGCCATTATTTGTCTTATTTTGACTTGGGACCCCCATGTAAGCAAAAGCTGGTAGATAGTGGCTCTTAACATCTTTCACCAGAATGGGCAGAGGCGAATATCAGGTGGGAAAAAGTATCTACAGAAACATGGACAAATTGCAATTTACCAAAGGATGGCACATGGGTCACATCCATCTGCCACATGTGATTGGGCAAAAGTCCTCGGGGATTAACTCCCAAGTGAGGCACAGGAAGAAATGTGACACACAGAGGGCAATTCTTTACTATTTGGACAGCTTGTTCTTTGGTTATCCCAGTGTGAAAGCGTAAGGACCCTGTGCTGAGATGAAAGCACTTATGCAAGGATTGTGCTTTAGTGAGCTCTTATGAAACCACACTGATTTGAGGATACCTGTTGGCCATGCGATTTCCTTCACTGAAGGGTCCTTGGCAAAGGTGTTGGTTAGTGCCTCTGTGGTGAAGAGTTGTAGAGCCAAGGCCAGGACTAAAAGTTCGGCCATTTGGGCAGAAGCTGTAGCAATTCTGGCTGTCTTAATGATGGGATAAGATACAACTACAGCTCTACCCTTTGAAGAATGGTCCGTGAAAACTACTGGCTCCTTGGAAACAGACTGAGAGACTGCAATCTTTGGGAAAAATCAAAGGATGCACCTTAAAAAAGAAACCAAATTATTGGATGGGTAATGATTATCAAAGTCACTCTTGGTACCAGAGAGAAAAATGGTCCAATCACAGCTATTATTTTGTAGCCACTCTATTTGTTGATGGGACAAGGGTGTAACAACATGATTTGGCTCCCTACCAAAAGTTTGTAAGGCAACGTTTTGTGCTTTAAATAGGAGTGCAACTATATCTTGGGAATAGGATACCATTGATCTAGATGGGGAGGCTTGAGAATGAACCCAAAGAATAGGACCCATAGGAGCATGAGCAGAACAAAACACTAATAATTTTAAAGGATGGGAATAATCTACATAATCCAAAGGAACCCTTCTAAGGCCATTTCAATTAAATGAATGCACTCTCATCCTGCTGTAGTAAGGACTTGAGGAGAGTTGGGATCTGAATCACCTTGTAAAATATCAAAAAGAGGTTTAAGTTGACCAGTAGTAATTTTTAAACTAGGTCTGAATCCAATTGGTATCTCCTAGAAACTTTTGAAAATCATTTAAAGTTTAAGGGTATCTAGCCGAAGACTAATCTTTAGAGGGCACACTCTGTTATGAAGCAAGGGATGTCCTAGATAATGATATGGAAACTCTTTTTGTACTTTCTATGGTGTTATCCACAAGCCAGTCAATCCTAAGGTGGTCTGAAGATCCCTACAGGTAGATAGCAATAGCTTTTCTTTTGGCACAGCAGACAATATATCATCTATATAATGGATCATATACAGTTGAGGATATTTTTGTCTGACTGGCTTTGTAGCCTGAGAAACACTAGCTTGGCATATGGTGGGGCTATTGGCCGTGCCTTGAAGCAGAACTACCCAATGATATCTCTTATAAGGTTCTCTTAAAGATGGAACACAGAAAGGAAAGTGGTGACAATCAGCAGGATGTAAAGGAATGGTGAAAAAACAATCTTTTAAATCTATCACAAGCAAGTGCCAGTTTTTTGGGACAGCCACAGGGGTTGGCAACCCTGATTGAGTGACATCCATGAGCATCATGGTCTCATTAACCTGTCTCAGGTCTTGTATCAGCCTCCATTCACCTGATTTTTTTCCTAATAACAAATATGGGAGTATTCCAGGGAGAGGTAGAGGGGACAATATGACCAGCATCGAGTTGTTTCTGAACCAGGGCATGAGCAGTCTCCAACTTTACTTTGGATAGGGACCATTGTTCTACCCAAACAGGTTCATCGTTTTTCCAGGTGAATTGGAGGTTTGTGAGCCTGCAGAACAATGGCTCCCATTAAAAATGCCCCAGAACCTTTCCGGTCTCCAGGGAATCTCTGCACCTGGGGCTTATCAGACACGGGCAGGGGTTGCCCTGTAAATTCTTTCCAATCCCTTTGCCTGGGCAATAGCCTTGCTCCCTAAGCATATGCTGTATAGGAGGTGTGTTCAACATAGCTTCCATGGCTTCTAGGATATCTCTGCCTCAAAGATTGTTCGGGATGTGAGGCAAAGCCACTGAGATCTGCGCATATACCACAGGGTCGTAAATAATTTGTGGGCCTAGGGCTGCATAGGCTCCTGTGCCAGTAAGCATTTCTAAATTTCTTCTGGGGAGACCAGCAGCCGTGTTGTGCTGCGCTGTTTGGTTACATAGTTTTTGGTATTGACCCCTCCAAATCAAATAATCTCCCCTGACAGTTTAGAATGACATAATTGTTGCCAAACACTGGGGGTACAATTCAAAGCTGCAAAGGATTCAAAACTTGCCAGAGTGAAAGGGGCATGAGGCCCGTATGCCATAGCTGCCTCCTTCAGCTGTTTTATATCCTTAATGTTAAGAGGGGTATGTTCTCTCTGACTCTGGCCTTGAGGATTAACTGTCTCTATAACTGGGAACATCACTCCACCCCTCTGCTCTTCAGGAGAGTCTGAAGGAAGAAGAGAGAGATAGAATTCTTGGATTACAAGCAGGGGGGATGCGGCTCAAGGGATTTTCTAAGTGTAGGCTTTAATTTGAGGATGTCCTTCTTTTTTATTTTATTTTATTTTCCAGTTTAAATTTAGATAAGAAACAAGGTTGCTTCACAAGTCAGTTCCAGGTCCCTCTCCCTTTCCCTCCCCTCCTCCCGTGCCCTCCCCCCAGCCCCCCCCCCCAGGATGTCCTTCTTGAGTTGAAGTTCATCACCTTCCTCAGCCTCATCCCCTGAAGAGGAGAGAGAGGACTCAGAGGAAGAAACATCAGAAGCTTGAAGTGACTTAACAGACTCTTGGTCCTGAGCTTCTGCAAAGGCAGTTCTGGCTTCCCCCGACCTGCTCTCTCAAGTTCACATTATCACTAAGAAGCGCGTCCTTGACGAGATGCCACAGAGAAAAGGTAGCAATTGGTATGCTATTTGGTCCTTCTTTTTGTAATGTCTTTTGTAGATCTCCCTTCACCTACTCCCAATCAGGGATATTGAGGTCACTAGAGACCAAAAACCAAGGACTGACCTCACGTACAATTTTCAAGAAGCATTTTGCTGTCTTAGTTTGATACCTGTGCTTGGCATTTTTAACAATCGGACTAGTTGGTCCATCATAAGAGAGTGGGAACTAGCGGCACCATGTTCAACACACTAGCTCCTTACCTTAATGAGAATGCTGGCCAGCCTTCACGGGTGACCCTTCAGCATTTATCCTTCTTTTCTGATCTTGATGGGACCTCCATTTGTAGTGCCAGCAATATGTCTCACAGATTCGGGTAAGGGGCTGAGGATTTAAATAAAGACAAGACAGCGGGTCACTCATGCAAGGAGAATGCCGTTTATTACAACAAGAGGGGAGCCTTATATACCAGTCAGCAGGCACAGTGGAAAACTACCCAGGCTGGAAGTTTACGTTCCCAGATCCATCTGACCATCATTTGTGGGTGGATAACAGGAACTTGTGGTCAGGCCTTCTCAGAAGGAAGGGAACAGGATGTTTTTGTTAAATAAGCTCCTAGTCACAAGTTGGTTAGCAGATCCCCATGGGGGAAGGGTCCAACAACCCTAGAGTCTCTCAAATATAGGAGGTTAACACAATTTGGGAAGTATCTTTGAATTAATGATGGTACTAGGGATGTAAAAAAGACAGGATAGTTCAAGAATATAGATGTTTGTTTTGCTCTGTGGCACTGGAGGTGGAAGCCAGAGTCTCACACATACTAGGTAAGTATTCCACATTCATTTACATCTTTTAGCCTTCAAGAATACTTTCTTGAACTTAGAAGCATGAGGGTTCTATGGGGTTCACGATACCCATTGAAGACATCATTTCAAAGCATCTTGACTAATAATCTCCTATTGTTGACACTTTCATTCTCAAATCTGATACTCAGATCTTCACTGTTACACTTGGATTACCATAGTAACTGTATCAAATCATCATAAAAATGTGAGTTTCAGGTGGTACATTTAATTACTGCTTCAAATTCTGTACTTTTTGCTTTCTAACAAATGCTTACTGTTAAACTGAAGTTCACCCAAATGTCCATGCTTTGTATTAATCCTCCACCTCTTCTGTTACCTGGACCTTTAAATTTTTCAGTTTTCAAATATTTTCATAATGTTAGTTATTAACACTCTTTCAGACTCTTAGGTGGCCTATTAGTTTAAACAATTTTTTCATTCTCTCTCTGTCTTGCTCTCACTTTACAAAGGTAAGCTTCAAGCCTACAATGTAAATTGGCTTCTGAAGGTTGTAGAACACCAAGCTTGGCAGCTCCAGGTACTAAGAACAACAGAAAGGATTACCTCAGTCTTAGTATGCTCTGAAAACATTTTTTCTTCCTTAAATGTCTCTGTGAGAAACTGAAATCTTCATTTTCTATTCAACCACAGTAGCAAACAACTGTCTCAGTGATTCTCCTGCACCATAAGTTGAGTGGACCGAGGCTGTGACTTCTCAGAGCTGGTGATGACCTAGAGCAGCAGCATCTAAGGCTCACCAGGGAATGGCTGAGTTTTAAACTGCTGTTCTCACCACTCAGTCTACCTCAGGCTATAGATGCCAGCCACACACACTCTTCTAGCCTTTCCCCACCCTCCCTTTCTCCCTCCTCCCTTTCTTTTTCTCTTTCTTCCTTCCTTCCATCCTTCCTTCCTTCTTTTTTTTGAGCCAGGTCTTATGTATCTCAGGTAATTGGCTATGTAACCAAAGATGAACTCAAATTCCTGATCCTCCTACCTCTGAGATCTCGTAATTGTGGAGATTACAGACATGAACAATGCACAACCACTGGACATTTTTGTGCTTTCTTCATTTGGAGGTGGAATGAACAAGAGTAGAAGGAATACTTTTCCAGCTCTTATTTCAATAGAAATGTGATTTAAAAGCAAATGACATTTCATGTGCCCACAGTCATCCAAATTTGCTTCTTAAAGGTATGCTTCATTCCTTTCAGGGCTATTTGCCAAGTGAACATGGCATTGAGCACATGCTTTTCCAAAGGTTTGTGAGTGCAAGGCCTGGCGCACTTCTGGCTATTTACGTTTGCCAGTACTAGTGAAGGCACATGGTAGCATTGGGTAGGAAAAAACATGGCAGCTAGCTTTGATGGATTATGAGAGCTACTTGCTTTGTTGGATTAATCATGCAGGCCCTCTTGGGAGATAGAAGGACTGCTAAAGGACTATTAAAAGTTTTAGTTAATGCTTCTCACAGTACGTGGACCCAGAAATGTGTGGTCAGTGTTTTGGTACAAACTTTCCATAGCAGACAGCCTTGTCTAGTAAAAAAAAAACATAGCCTGCTAATTGGATATTTTCATCACATGTGTACAGGAATGCCTTTAGTCTGCTTTTGCTGATTAGAAGTCCCTTCTCCTGAGGTTATATTTCAATATCACAGTTTGATCAGGGCTGCTGCCAACTCTAAGACTCCAGAATAAAATGTAACATTCCTCAGGTATCACCATTTTTCTCTTCACCAATGAGGCTGGCGACAAAGCTCAATAGTAGAGTGCTTGATAACCACAAAGTTTAAACTCTGGGACTGACTGTAAAAGTTTGATGTGGTGGTTTGTTTACATCTTTGGGCGATAGAATCAGAAGGATCAGAAGTTCAAGGTCATCCTCAGCTGCATCTAAGGCCAGACTCAGCTAAATGAAACCTCACCTCTATATGAACAAACAAAAGCAAGGCTGAAATAAACCATTATTATATAGATCTAAGAATATGAGTGCACTATTAGTGGGTATAGAGTGTTAACCACAAAAATACTGGAAAGCATGGCTCATTCCAGTACTGCTGTTCTCCTGGGAGCCTGTCTTTGCTCTAGAGCTGCCAGTGCACAGAGTTCAGTTTTTCAATTTGTAAAATGGACTCTCAGAAGGCTCAGATAAGCATCACACAACAAGGCAGGAGGAATGGGCTCTAGACACTGGTCTTTCCACCCCATGAGCTCTCCCTCCTCTTTCCTACCTGTCCATATGTTGAAGTCCATGCTTATGTATTTGGGGAATATCTTCAGAATCAGCATTAGTGACTCTGGATAAGAAGAGGACAGAAGAATCCTCATAGGCTTTGTATTCTGGCCTGGAGTTTATGTTCCTTATTTCACAACAGCTCTTGGACATGCAGGCGATGACATCTTGGACATCTTTCATCCTGGGCTCTGGTTTGCATTTGCTTCCATTTGAGGCCAATAAGGGTTAAATATCCAGTCTTCAGATTTTCCATTTTTAGCAATAAAGACCAAGTTTTATAATGTCTGTTTTGTTCAAACTCTTCCCTGAAGTGATCCAATCGCCAGCACATATGGAAAACTGAAATTGTCTTAATCAATTGCTAAAAGAGACTAAAGAAAATCTTATAATCATCAGAAAAAACATTAACTTTCGGATGTGGTTCTTCAGAGCTGTTCAAATAAGTACTTGTTAAACCTCTGTACATGGGGAAGCCAAATTATGGCCACCACCAAAGGACCGAAGAGTTAAGCTCGAGACTTTTCAGCTGTTTTCCAAAGTAGCACAACAATGTGAATCCATGAGCACATGTGACATGAAAAAAGTGTCTGCATATGTACTGCCTCCAAAACTCTGTTTTGGCAAGCTAAGCTTCTTCTAAAACTATTCATTGTTTTTAATAATGTGACCAAGCTGTGTATATACATTACATTTTTATCAAGGTTGTTCATATCTGACAATAAGGCAGGCTTAGTCCAGTGGTTTAAGTAGGATGGAAGCTGAGGTGTTCAAACTACATAGAGTGTAGAGAAAACATCTCCCCTATTTTTTTGCTAATTTTAATCTAATTCCCTTGTTATCTAAATGGAAGGAAATCCCATCTTCTGCTTAAACACCAGCTACCCAAATCTGAATTTTGTGATTACGCCCCCTGTGATGGTCAAAGCTGGTTGTCACTTTGAGTATTTGAGACATACTTGCACAGTTGAGTACTACTTCTGCAAGCATCTGTAAAGGAATTCCCATAGACAATTGAAATGTGGCTCAGGAAGGAGTGAGGTAGTATTGTCCCATGGGCAGTATACATGATGGAGCAGGTATGGAAAGAGTGGAGAATCTTTCACATGGGCACAAGTTCTGTTCACCTGCCTTGGGGTGCAGGTGAGCTGCTCCATCACCCATAGATATCTGACTTGAGTGTCTAGCATGGTCTTGGACTCCTGATCCCATGCCTAGCTTCCAGGCTTCACCATCAGTTGGGACTGAGTCTCTAGTCCCCTTTGTTCTGAGACTTCCAGCTTTTTGAACTGAGATGCTGTGATTTTCACTAGATCTCCCACCTACAGCTGGCCACTGTAGGACTTGTCAGCCTCTGAATTTGTAGGCCAGTCTCATCAAGACTCTGGTTTGGGAGGATCTAGGAGGAACTGGGGTGGGGGGAGGGAAAACATAGTATTAAATCAAAAAGTGTTTAAAAGAGACCCATTTGTCTTTATGAACACTACATTGGATCTATTCCTAGGGACACCTCTAACACACCCTCTTTTGTTGTCCAGTGACTTCAGAGGATATTGTTGCCTGCTTGAGGACAGGCCTTAGGATCCTGTAATACTCAGCCATTTCCTAGCATAGAGAAGGCATTTGGTGTGTGGTATTGGGTGGAATCAAGTTTACATCAATGAATTTTGCTGTGAACACACACACACACACACACACACACACACACACACATACATACACACACACTTCTCTTTTCACCATCAATATGTTGCTTGTGTTAAAACTGATTTCTCACCATATAATTTTATTAAGAATTCTTCATAAATGAAAGGTTTGGACATTAAAAATATGCTATCATATAACATTCAACTTTCAGAAAATTCCTGTTAAATAAAGTAGTTGCTGCATTGTCCATGCAAAAATGTAATACCCTATTCTAGCTTTTCTGTTTCCTTGCAAATTAGTGATGGCACTGAAAATAACTCAGATTGCCCCCTCCACTTCCATTTTAGCTCTTAAAGTGCACTTCTGTTCACAGTCATCTTTTTATTTTGTAAGTTTGCTCAATATCCAAGAGTTGCCTTGAGGCTGTGCCCATAAAATGAGATTTATTTTCCTCTGGAGGAGGGGAAATTTGGCTTCTGCAAGCCACTTTTATTCACATGCCCAGTCTTCATTTTTCTCTGTCCCACCCTTGGAGTATAGCATGAGTCCATGGTGACAGCTGATCCTGATGTCATCTAGAGCCCAGCTTCTTCAATTGCGGGTTTTGACCATATATGGCGACTGAACATGAGTGTAGTGAAAACTCGGCAATAGCAAAACATACCTGAGAGTGCAAGAGGTAGTAACAAAAGATTCCTGTCAAAGGAAAAGTTCATTCAAGATCTCATGCATGCTTCTGATCTAACTGCGTTTGGAACTGTGTCTGGTAAAATGTGCTCCTTGAATTTTTGTTTTAATTTGGGTTCCTCCTTTTCTCTCTCTCTTCCTCCCACTCCAGTGTTGAGGATTGAACCTGGGCCCTGCAGATAGTAGGCAATTGCTCTACCACTGAGCTCAAATAGCCCCAGCTTTAATTGCTGCTATATGTATTAAAATCTTAAGGCAGTTCATTGTGTATAATTAAGAACATTCCACATTGAGAGTAGAAAAGCCTTGAGAATCCACATAAGCAATCATGAGTACATAAAGTATTTACGTGTTCAGTTGTAAATTCATAAATTATTGAGTCCATACTGTATCTTCAGAAAATGCTTTTTCTGGGGTAAGTTAGCCAATCCCCTGTTCTCATACAGGAAGCTCACTTCCCAGTATCCATCTAGCAGATCAGAGGAGAGCATGGCCCCTTCGACAGCTGTGGCAGTGCTGCCTAGTGGCTAGCTGCCTGCCTTCCCCTGGGCTCCTAAACTAGAGGTGGGCCATTTGGGTTCTGTCGGGAACACCGCGTGGTAGTCACTAAGCTTCTTCCTCCGTTGTACCATTGTATCAGGTTTCCATGTGGAACACTGTAGTCAGTTAGGTGATAGATCTTTTTATTGAAGTTTCCTTGTTGTTAATGCTTCTTTCCCATATCAGGC